TGTTTTAACTTTTATTAAAAATTAAAATAGGACATTCAATAGTCCTATTTAACCCCTACATAGGACACTAACCGAACAGCTCAAATATAGGACTGTCCTTTGTAATATAGGACGGTTGGTCACGCTAGTTATGCATGATATACATTCTTTTAACCCATATCACGCCTCCGAAGATGAATATGAGCTAAAACAAATCAAATAATATTATATTTTATGCTCAATACTACAAGAAAATTGGCATTAAGATTAAATCGGTTAATTCATTAAATGTCTAGATTGTTAGTACCGTAATCATGTTTTAGCGATAATTTAATAATCTATGTAAATTAAAAATTTTTGAAGGAACGGGAAAAAAGTTAACCTCTAACTTATACTTAAGGCCAACAAAAAAGAGCTAAAAACGAGCAAATTCTCAAAGATTTCCATTTTTTCAAAGGACAATAATGAGTCATGATAGTCATTATTAATGACTATCATAACAATTTTATATATGTTTAGCGTTATCTGAATAGTAAATGTTTTAACACTCCTTAACTAATTAATAATTTTGATCATTCTGCATATTAAATGAGTCATCAAATGTTAGCCCTACTTATACTCTACACGTGTATACGGTATGATTAAGGACATCAAACGGATGCTTTTTGGATGCTTTGGTCACAGAAAAAGTAGCTTTTGTTAAAAAAACAGTTTATTTCTAATTAGAAATATTAAAGTTGTGTTAAATAATGCTGTGAATTAAATATTACTTATAAATAAAGTCGTGTTTTTCTGTGACTAAAGCATCCAAATAACATCCGTTTCATGTCCTTAGTTATGATTTACAATTTTGCATCAGATAACACCATAACCATGATTATTAAAAATACAATAGGATCTTATAAGTGTGTATTTATTGAAAATAAATTCTCATAATTAATAGGAAAACCTTTTTTTTAACAAATAAATGATTATTAAAATTTTTTTAATGGCATTATAATGTCGTTGTAATGTGATTGACATTAAACATTGCTATTAAATTAAATATTAAGCACTATTAAAATACAATTTACATTAATCATAATTACTTAGTTATCAAAATATATTATTGAATTTAAATTAAATAAATACAATTGTAATTATTGTAATTTAAAACTAATTTTATTTTATAGTTATACTTTCTTGATTAAATTAACAATACTCTTACAACAATAAGAGTCTAATTAATCTACATTAATTAAATTTAAACAATATTAACTAAAATGTCAAATTGAGATATTGCAGACCTAATTAAACCCGGCGCTCGATGGCCAACATTACCGATTGCGGTAACTTCAACAGTGGGTGATTCTGAACAGCAGGGGGAACAGCAGTCTCGGGACACCGGGACAGCCGATAATGTAGCACAATATGGGCCAACGCATACTTGGCCTCCATTAACGCGAACCGCATACCAACACAATGTCGGGGTCCGGCGCCAAAAGGTAGGTACGTATAGGGCGTCAGTTTGTGCCGATTTTCTGGCATAAAGCGCTCCGGTATGAAACGGGACGACTCCGGGAAGTACTCGTCCATATGGTGTATGCCGTGAGTGGGTATCTGAACCTCTTGGCCCTTTAACACCCGCACACCACCCGTGCCCGGCAGCACGTAGTCGTCCATCGCGTATCGGCGTAACTTTATTGGTGACGAGTGTATGCGCATCGACTCGGAAGTGACCGCATCGAGGTAGGGTAGAGTGGCCAACACGTCGTACGGTATTTCCAAGTGATCGTCGGAAGTAATTTTGCCTGCAGTTGTAGTGGTGGTGATGGACCCGGTGACAGGTGCCCGGGCGACGGCACTCACCTCTTGGTACAGCTTTTCCTGTTTATCTGGGTTTAGGGCCAACTCATACGTAATGTAGGAAAGAGTGGCCGCCATCTGCTCGTAGCCGGCGATGAAGAAAAACAGCGAATTCCCGATTATCTCCTCGTCGGTCAACGGCTCGACCTCTCCCTCTCTGTCCGACACAATGTCCAGTACTTTCTTCTCGATTGCTTTGCTTTCAGTGCCTATATATTTGTAGTTCATATTTAATAGTAATTAATATTTATTGTTATTTTATATTTATTATTTAATTAATTAATTTGCAATACTTAGTACATGTAGTTATTCTTGAACTGGATTTTAGTAAACACACAATTAATTTAATTTAAAAAAAATTGCTCGATCACTTTTGTAATTCACTTACATTTAATTTGTTGTTTTAATTGCAATTATTTTATAAAATATAAGTACAGTATAAGTTAATGAAAAACTAATCAATGCACCACAATCATAATCAATTTAATACAAAGTAAATATACTCACCATCATTAATATGGTGGCCCTCATAATCGCGACTCTCATCTGTTTCGGCACTACCGGCGGTTGCGGTGGCCCTACCCTTAGCCGTCACCGGTTTGGCCCTCAACAACAGCCCTATAAAGTCATCGCTCCGTTGGTAACTCTTGCGGTGCTCGCGGACCAGATTACCGATCAACTCAATCATGGCGTTCAGTGGGCCCTCATTGCGCACCGACCGGATGTTCAGCCATACCAGCAGTTGTGGCGGTACGAGTGCCGTCAAAAATATCTTCCCGCCGGAGAGTTTGCCCATACGGTTGGCGCTGAGGACCATAGGGTTGTTGGGATCGCGGAGGGCGTCCGTCTCCATACCCCACGCGCCGGCGGCTATGGTGTCCATCGCGTAGTGGCCGTACACCCGGTACGCGTCCACTACACCTTTGCCACCGGTCGTCGTGTACTCGTCTAGAGTGGCCAACAGGTTTTGCAAACAGTGGCCCAGCATTGGGTACATCTGACGCATACGGCCCGACGTGAATGTGGGCGACACCATAGAGCGCATGCGCCGCCAGTGTTGACCCCTGACGATGGATAGGTTTTGATTGGCGATCGGGTGCGAGGCGTTGGATATAAGGGGCCGGTCGGTGAACATGTGAAAGTCTTTCACCAGGATCTGTTTGATGAGCACCGGGTCTGCTATTTGCAGTAGTGGTTTGTTTCCATCGAATATACTGTATTAGTTGAGCGAAATAATTAAATTTGTTATACCTTAATTGTGTTTCTAACTAGAATTCGACCTTCTTGTTTTTTAATTGTTAATTTATTTTATAATATAATATGTTTATTATAATTATTTCAATTTTTTAATAGTCCTGTGATTTAATTATAAAATCAATATAAAATAATTAATCAATATAACAATAATAAAATTAATTGAATTTTTAGCAATTTCTTTTGCAAAAAAATACAGGTATTGATTGATTGATTACTCTACCTGAAAGACAAATTAATTGTAAAAAATTTAAAAACTAGCAACGGAGCAATAGCAATTCAATCACTATCAATATTTTTAATGCCAGTATTATTTTCTAATTTTTTAAATATTTTAAAAATGTAATTATTTTTCAATTCTTCATTGATATTCTACTGATATTGCACCTATGACTTTATTGTCTTAATACGTATTAGGTCTGTATTTATATGAATTTAATTTTTGAAAATAATTATAATTTAATTTAGATTTGAATTTAATAAGTACTATATTTGTATAACTTATATCCATAATATAAAATAATTGTAATACTTGATTTTCAATGTCACCTTCATTCATAGGATAAATTGCAAATTCATTGTGTTTCAAACTGATTTTTAATTAATAAAATAACTTTATATAAAATAAGCTGTCTAAATTTCCATATTACTAACCCTGTGATTGGGTATATGTTTTAACATGGGTTAACACATTCACACATGCATAATGTTTATTTTTATGTGACTTTTTAAGTTGTTAACATACATTTATAATGTCACATTCACTTTTGTTCTTGTTCATAATGTTTGCAATAATGTTCATAATGTGCACATTTATGTTATAATAAGCAATGATTTATATATTCAACAGTGAATTAAAATCTGAATTAAAGAAACTATCTTAAATTTGAAAAAAATAAAACTAATAGAAAACACATAATCATGTAAACAGCTTAATGTTTAGCAAAACATGTTATTTAATTTAATATATTTAATATTTTAAAAATATTTATTTAGAAAAGTTATATATTGATAATAAAATAATTTTATTATTAATTATTAAGCCCTGTAAATTTACATTTTATAATTACACATACCTAACAATAAGGTCCCATTTGTGTAAAATTAAACAAGTGAGAGTATAATTATAAATATTATTGTAAATAATACATGTACACTAATTGTTTTTTACACATTGTAGTTTACCAACCATTTAGACAAATGTTTTAAAGTTTTTAAAGTTGGTAAAAGTTTAAATTTAAAATACAATGTAAGCAATGATAAAGGGTTTACTGTACATGAAAATCAAATAGTTGATCTAAATGCAATGTGAATAGACATTTACAATTTACTGTATTTGAACATGACATCATTTATTAAATGTATGCTAAAACAAAATAAAAATAATCAACTAGATGTAAAAGTACTATAGTAGAAATGCCCATTAATTGTTATGAAATATAGTAAAAAAGTTGTGTAAATGCAGTGTAATATTTTAACCACAAATGAGTTTTATTTAATAATATATTAAAAAATTTAAAAATAATTACCCAAAAAGTTTGCCATATTTTCTAACTCTTTTGATGTCCAACTTGTCCTTCGATGTGAACAGTAGTTCCCATAGATTGCCAAAAATGATCACTGGTTTTGGCCCATTGACGCCCATCTTGGTGAAATAGTTGAAATTACGCGTGTAATAGCTAGGTGAAAGGGTATTATGAGATAGTTATATTAAATATAATTAAATTTAGATATATTTAAAATTATTAATAATTATTTTACTATATTTACCGGTAAATAACTGTAAAGGCGACGGACACGGGTAGCCAATACAGTACCCAGTTTTGCGATAATATATAATTGATCATTTTAGTGTAATTACTATAAAATTTGCTTTATAAACTAATTTAGTTTTATACAACGCAGATTTAATAAAGCATTAGAGTTAACCTATTTCTAATATTTATAAGAAACTACAAGTAATAAAATTTTAATTCATCATCGTAATGATTGTTAGTTATGTTATTATTAATAATAACTTATTAAATTCGAAACAATAATGAAATTTATAATAAAGTAATTTATATTATGTATATTATCATAAGATTCATATTATATTAATTAAATAGTTTATTTAACCTCAAAGTAAAGTTTACATAATTATTTATAAAATATATGAAACTAAATTTAAAAAGGGAACTTAATTTAATTAAAAATATAATTACACCAATAATAGTATTATTAATACAATATAATGATTTAGAATATAAAATAAAGAATACCATATTTCTACATAGTATATTTTTGGGGAAAATATTTATAATTTAATTAAATACTAAAATATTAATAATGATTTTTTAAAAATATTCTATGTTTTGTAAATTTTTATTTCAAATACTTGTTATTAAATTACAATTTTTTATTATAAATTATAACTTATATTAATTACTTAATTAACTGTGAAAAATTTCAAAGAAAATTACAGAATATGCGATAATAATACTAATTGTTGTCCAAATAAGTGATAATTTAATTTTAAAGAGTAAACAGGCGTTGAGTTGTGGGCAGTCGTGTCGGGTGTAAGCCATGAGTCGGTTGAGCGCCGGATAAGCGTTCAAACGGATAGCCGTCTCCTCTCGGCTCACGACTGCAGTCAACGCCCAATGACTTTGACGCCAATCGGCGTTCATTTTGGCCGCACTTATTGTCACCAATAGGTAGAAAACGACCAAATTTATTATACGGTAAGCAGATATTAGTAATCTAACCCATTCTATAAAACATTTAATTATGGTCACATTTTAAAAATTAATTAACAACTAAACAATATCACGCTGCCTTGAATACATTATTTTATTTATTAATAAATTAATAATTAATAAAATATAATTTACCAACGCCTTTGCCATCATACTTGATGAGCCAAATAATATGAAATGCATATTTACACAGATCATAAATGAGGATTACATAGATGATTAGTAGCGGTACGGACACAGTACGCTGTAATCGCTCGATCTGAGCGGTAAGCATACTGTGTCTCGACTGTAATCGCCTTATATTCAAAATGGTATTCACTCGACATTCATTGGCCAGTATTTGCCGGTTAAGCGTCTGAAACATGTGCGATATTGCCTGACAATGTAGCGCTATATAAACATGCTAGATACATAACCATGTGGGTAGTCAGGTAATATGCCAGATACTCAAATACCATGCCCAGTTTACCCTCGCGCGCTGAGTATTTACTCGTGTTAAATAATAATGTGTAATGACTAAAAACTAGATTTATCATTTCGTGACCAATCATAAACATTATGGTTAAAAATATATAGACCAAAAGCAGGTGGCATCTCGTTCTTAGTTTACCATAATTGCCCAGACTGTGGTCCAGTATGTTAGCATCGCATTTCAATCCGAAAAGGACCTGGGTTGTAATTGGTTTTATGATCCATATTAAACTTCTTGAATAACCATATCCATCGCTTGCAAAGACTTGTCGATACAAGTTATACAAAGCAAGTAATATAATGATTAACCTTAATGTACAGACAATTAACTTGATTGTATTGTGACTACTCATACGCTGATTAAACCCGTAGTATTTCATGATTGTGATTAAGGTGTTTAGTGGATTATTAACGCTGATTATATTGCTTGTGTCCATTATTATATGTAATATTTTAACATTAATTTCTTTGTTTTGTTAGTAATTTTATTTTGTTGTGCTAAAAATCATTTATTTATTTTATGTCAACATAAAACACCTAGAGTAAATATCGACAGAAGTAAACTTATTATATTAATAAAAATATATTAATATAATTATGTATTATTATAAATTATGTATTTGAATATCGAGTTCGTTCAATTTAATTGACAAACAAGAAAAACTTGTACATTTACATGTATATTTAAATTTATTAATTCGTTTGTTTTTTATCTGTAATTTTTTGTTTGTTTGTATGTTTTTATGTCAAAAATGCAGTTATTATATAATTTCGTTTGCATAATACAAATACTTTCAGCTATACTACATTATTTTTATTAAATTTTAACACACATTACACACCTAACATTTAACATGAAAACTTAGGAAATAACAATTAACTAGTTTTATGTTTTGTAATTTTTATTTTAACTTCTAATTATAATTTATACCTTATATTTAAAAATCAATTAATTGTTAAGGATTTCAAAGAAAATGACTGAATATGTGATAATAATACAAATTGTTGTCGAAACTAGTGATAAATTAATGTCAAATAGTGAACAGGGATTGAGTTGTGGGCAGTCGTGTCGGGTGTAAGCCATGAGTCGGTTGTGCGCCGGATAAGTGTCCGAACGGATAGCCGTCTCTTCTCGGCTCACGACTGCAGTCAACGCCCAATGACTTTGACGCCAATCAATAGTTGTAATAATCTTGATTTATCTTGATTCTTTTGTATAATATATTATATGAAAATATGAAGGTATAATGAAATTTACTAACAAGTTAGAAAATAATTTTTATATTCATTACAATAGTCTTTGAAATAAATTTTCAGTAGTATTTAGCCATAAATTAATTAATTGTTACCTTTTTTCCACACAAACACTGCCGACAAATACACACTCAATACTGTACACACTTTCACAAAATATTAAATGTTGGTCATAATAAATGTTGGTTATGACTCATATCTGACCAAAAGTGACCCAAATTAACACTATTTAAGACCCAGACTATACCACACATACATGCAGTCATCACACAGTCTTTAAAAATGTAGTCTAAATAAGACGTTCACACTATTTGTGTGCTTTTAATAAATTGTAATTTTTTTAAAACTGTGTCTTTAAATAAAATTAATTAAAAGTTAAGAATAAAACGACTTATTCTTTACATATGTTAAATATTTTTAAAATAAATATGATAGTACTGTAAGGGTACACAAATATTATACAATAAAAATTAAGCTTTATTTGTAAAATAGAGATAAAATAAGTACCTAAGTAAAATAAGTAATAAGAAAAAATAAAATAGTAAAAATATTAATACAATAACTATAAAACAAATCAATTGTTTTTGTTAGAAAATTATCTTGTTTAATATTAAGCTGGTCATTATGATGGCCAATAGTAGTAGAAATGTGCCATGATCATTCACTAGTTTTAGACAAACCCTCGATATAGTTGTCAATAATTTGTGGCAATTTTTCCAAACTATCGTTTGATTGAAGTCTTTGCGAAATGTTTGCCAACTTTTCAGTCAACTCGTTGTCATTCAACAGCCGCTCGACTGCGGCCAACAGTTGAGCCTCCGAGCACTGGTATGGGTGCAGACGTATGCCGAGTCCCCGTTCCTGT